ATTTTCGTAATAGATATATAATTTCAAAAATTCGAGAAAACATGAAAAAATAAGAGAATAATAAAAAAGAAAGAAAATTATTTTAAAAAAGATAAAAAATTAATAAAAATTTTAAAAATTCTGGAAAAGAAAGATATAAACTCTTCATCAGTTAACACGATTATATCAGCAAAAAGAAGTGCTTTCTAATATTGTATCAATGTAACCAAAGCAAAATATATCATTACAATAGTGTGAGAAGCACTCAAAAATTAAAAAAAAAAGATAGAATACCATAATTAATAAAAATCACGTAAAAAAACGGAAAATAAAATGTAAAGAAAAACAGAACAATACATGACACGAAATCTATAAAGCAATTAGAGAATTCAATTGAACTTGCACATGAACGGGAAAATTTTCAAGAATGATTTCAAATATTTTCGCAATAAGATTGCTAGATTACAAACTATGAAAACAGAAGCGCAAATTGAGGTAAAAGTGTAAATAGAGGGATTTAGTTTTATAGTGCGTTCTTACTGCAGTACTGAAACGCGTTTTATGTATATAATTAAAATCACGCCGTTCATCTTAAAATTAGAGGATTTTAACCTGTATGATATTTTTGTTTTAAAATTCGCTTTTACGGCATTACTTTACATTTTTATAGATGAAATAGTTTAAAATTTTTGACCAGAATTTAGATTTTCTTAACTACAGAAAATATAACACTTTTAAGCAAAAAAAAAATTAAATTGCGCAGAAAATCTATCAGTGTTAATTCAAATCAATCAAGTTAGTGTAAATCCAAATCAATCATCCAAATCAATCCAAACCAAAGCAAGTGCACAAAGGCCAATGATCTATCAAATTCGGCAAAAAAAAAGAAAGAAAAAGAACGCTGTTAATTCATTTCATTGTCATTGTCTTCAAAGCTTAACGAAAAGCTTTGAAGAAAAAATTATGAAAAATGCATATTTAAAAATCATTTTTTGTCTATTATTTTTAAAAAACTTTACATTTCTAAAGGCTTATTCTACTCCGAAGATACGTAAATTAGACTGAAAATTTTTAATATAACTGGAAATATAACCATTCTGTTAGCAGAATTCAAAAAGCAATTCTTCAAGCAAATTCATACGATATTAGATGTAGTTTTTCCCCTCAATTTTTTTGTTTTGTTACTCCTTCAAAGACATTCCGACAGATAGCGTTACGATTAGTAAACCCACAAATTAACGAAAAATAATTAAAAAAGCCCATAATTTTTGGAATATTCTAACGAATAAAAACCACGTAACAATATTTTCTAAACGTCCGATATCAGTAATCAGTTGGGGCGCCGACTGTCGAAAAGTTTTGAAATAAATCCTGAAACTCTGGATGCGAAATTTATGCCTTTGCTACTTAAATTCGCTGATAGCATTTTTGTTTCAACCTCAATTGTTTTCATAATTTCAATTTTTTAAAACCGTTTAGTTAATTTAAGACACCGTGTATAAAAGGAATTGTATACATCAAACCAGATGCTAAAACTCAAGCCAAATACAAATTCCGAACCAATATCTGTTGAGCTATGTAATTAAAATTGGCTAAAACGAAGAAGAATCTTTCTTAACATAATTCAAAATGATTAAGGAATATCGCTGCTTGCGGAAGAAAAGCAAATTACATTTACCAAGCATATATATTAGCAAAGTATATTATACCGATATTATATTAGTAGGGTTTTATTTTAATTGTTCACTTTTTTTACGAATAATTGTTTTTTTTTTCTTCCAGCTTTTCCTATTGTTCAAAGGGCGTCTAGAAGTTATTGAAAATATCACAGTTTTGGATGTCAAGTAAGAATATTTTCTTTCCTTGCTTAGCTTACTTTTCTTTTTTTCTTTTAATAATCTTCAAAATAAGTATGAAAAAAATTTTAAAAAAAGGGGCAAAATGTCCCCATATACATTATTTTAAAATAAAAAATAGGCAGTTCAGTGGTTAGCATAGTTTTCTCAAAAATTTCATCTAAATTTCCAATTTTAATTTGCATCCAAGTAATATTTTGTATGAGGAAAAAATATATTTGTCTAAAAAAAACTTTTTTCGCGAAATAAATAGCACTGTTTTTTGAGAAAAACGCAGCCATTTCATAACTAATGATCAAGACAAGAAATTTTAAAGAGTATATCTCTTTTCTATATATTTCACTTTTTCATAAATCAATATCTTAGCCGTGATGGCTCAGGGGATAGAGCGTTCGCCTTCCAATGAGGTGACTCGGGTTCGAATCCCAGCAATGGCTGGTCGATACAAATTCAGCANCATCAAGCTTGCACCAACCACAGTGCTGAAGTGAATTATCCTCAGTGGTAGACGGATCATGGGTTAGAGTCCCTTTGCCGTCAGGCTAACTCTGGGAGGTTCTCGTGGTCTTCCTCTTCACGTAACGCAAATGAGGGTTATTTCCATCAGAAGAAGTCCACCACGAAGGCAAATTTCTCCCAATACTCTATCCAGGAGTTCCCTTGTCTTCTGGATTGGTTTCAAAATGAGAAGGCTACGGAGTTGAACGTTAGTAGTTGTAAACTCATATATTGGATTGGCTGTTCAACGACGGTTATAAAAAAAAATCAATGTCTCTTATTTTTATAAAACGATATTTAATTCCTAAAACTTGCATTTAAGATAATTAACATTATTTTTAAAAAGTTACTTTAATGGCTACGGATTGCAATTTTTTGAAGCAACATTTTTAATTCTTCACTATTTTTCCTATAAACAACTCTTTTAAACAATATAAATATAACTATAAATGAATATACACAAAACATAAAAGAAGTAAACACAAAAAAGTAATCAAAAAGAAATATTTTTTTCTCAAACTGAAACAACATTTTCGAAAGAATATTGCTGTAAAGGAATATGCACAAAACGTACAGAAACACTAACTAAAACAACATTTTCGGAAAATATACATAAATATAAATAGTTTATAATCATACATAACGATTTACATTAACATGAAAGAAATAAAAACCAAAATGATAAAGCGTTTTTTCAATCAAATGCAACAATTTCTAGAAATCTATATAAACATATTAGAATATGCATATCTTTTTTGCCATAAATTTTGTGCATTTTAATATATACATTTTGGAGATTAAAAATAAATTTATCAAAAAAAAAACTACATGTTTCCTAAAATATTATTTAAGTAAGAAAAAAATCTATTAAAATATTACATTGTGCTGAAACATTTAAAAAAAAACAATTTTAATGCCTAAAATTTATGCATTAAAACTTTTCATTTTTGTCTGAGACAATAATTCCGGAAATAAAATTTGTTTTAATCCCTTCTCTAAACAAATATGTTTAGTTTTTTTTTGTTTAATATTTTTATTCACTTTCTTCATTAATCTGATTAAATATTCAATACCTATGTCAACATCTAATACCGTGTATTAACCCTACTTTTAAAAGCTTCGGCAGCAGTTTTTTTTTTCTTCTTGTTTTTGTTACGATTTTAAGTCGACTTTCGTTTTCTAAATTATTAATCGTGCTTCATTGGAATTTGCTTTCAATTATGATTAATAAAGTTTAAAAAAATTAAAATATGCTTATAATTCTTCATAACATCGACATATTTTCTTGTTTTTACATGTTTTATTGACAAATGCATTATTTTATTTCTAAAATAAATGAAAAAAAATTGCTAAAATCTATGTTTTAATCTCTCGATGAAAGAATTAAATGAATTTAATTATTTGTTTTTATGAAGTCTGGAAAACTATTGGAATTATATTTGTTTGTTTTTTTACATTAAAGGAAAAAACATTTAAATTAATAAGATAATGTTTCTTTTTTAAAAATAAATTCTGAAATCAGCATGTATTTCTAGATAAAAATGTCAACTAAGAGATAGCCAGTCATTATTTACAGTCAATTTTATTCAATACTCAAATGTTATTCAATAAATTGTTCTTTTTTCTCTTTTTTTTTATTAAATTAAAAAATAACTTTTATTAACTCCGCGTTTGCTAAACTAGCTATAAGTTAATTTATAATATTGGTAAGTTGTATGATAAATTTTATTATGCTAATATATGGAAATTTTATTTTTAAACTGTGTTGTATTTAGAGGATACGTGTTTGAAAATTGCGTACGTTACGTCTGCGTGAGGAAATCTAGTATTTATTTTTCATCAAATTTCAAAACTGGCTGATAAAAATTATGAGATTTACGTGCAAATATTTCAGTTTGAAATGACAGCAGAAAAGTGATTTATCCAGAAGCAGCACCCTCTATTGATAAATAAAGTAACTAATTTTGAATTTTAACATAGCTATGAACTTACATACATAGTTATGTTTGGACTTTAAATTACAACTTTATTTACATCACAACTGAACGCTATTTAAAAAAAAAAAATTTCACAGCAGTAGATTAAGTTGTTTTGAAAAATGGCTACTTTTAACTATTATTTTTAAAAAAAATATCTCAGAGTTTCTATTTGCATTGCAGGCAAGAAACTTATTACTATGAAAATACCTACGCAATCGAATATATATAATACTGTTCAGGTTACGAAGTACATCTTGATGTGTAGCAGAATTGAAGCCATTTTATAAAAATTATTCTACAGCAGTAGGCCCACTTGTGTAAAATTTAAAAGTTAATTTTAACAATTTTTTTTTTAAAGAAAATGTTAAATTTCTGAATTTTGCTTTACAAGGCAGGATGTCGTATTAGGAGACAACAAAATTAAAATATATTTTCAATCTGAATACGTAACACTTTCTGACTTACCAGTCACTATTTAATCTACAGCACAGGTTATACCATTTTACACAAATTATTCTACAAAAGTAGATTGTGTAAAATCACTGATTTTAATATTTGCTTTGAAAGAAAATATTTAACCACCGAGTTTCTTTCCACTCATTAGGGGACAAATCTGATTTAATATGAATACAATAGGGTGCGTAGCCAGATTTTTCAACAAAAAATAAGTACCTTTTGAGTACTTTTTAAGCACTCAAAAAATATTTTTAATCGCTTTCCAAAAAAAAAAAAAATTCATAATTAGGATCTGTGCTGTAGTAAAAAAAAATTTCTATCGTTTAAAGTTCTTAGTTTTTAAATATACGAGTAAAATCAATAAAATTCAGAAACATTTTTGCAAAACGTTTACATAATCATGATAAAACAACTAGTTTCTGATAAATATTGCAGAGAGAACTGTGGAAATCATGCTTTTTTTTGTAGTTTAGAACAACAATCGATACGGCAAAGAAAAAATATCTTTTTTTTAAAAGAATAGACAATTAAGCATTTTTTACAAACTCAGAAATAAAAAAAAACACCTTCAAGAGCTTTTAAAAAACGTAAATCAAAAATAAGCACCTTTAAGCACTTTTTTAAAAACACTACACATCTAACATTGTTGAATTGAGAATCGTAACTTAATTTACAGCGCAAGAATTTTTACTATTTGCGAAAAGTATTTTATAGAAGTAGGTTCAATGGTCTGAAACGGCTAACTTTAACAATCTTTTTTTCTAGATATTATGAAAGACCAATTCTTTTTTTTTCCTCTCTAAGAAAAAAAAAAGGTTAATAAATAAGCAGATTTAATTAATTTTTTCACTCTAAAACAAAATATAAAAAAAACAAACAAGTCCCTCTTAATGAAAAAAAAAAAAAACTCAATTATTTTCTTATTTGGCACCATGGCGGAAATGATCCAGCTTTCTGACTTAGGATCAAACCTTAATTATTACTTCCCTCTTCCATGTAGAGTACAACAATTTTCTCTTAATTCCATTTGCAATTAGGTGTACTCTCTCTCTAAAATTAATGAATTCGCCTTAGAAATCGAGAATTATAAACGAAATGTTCTTAAGGACAATCTCACATGATTTAAAGGGGTTTCTCGACTTCGTACTACCCTTTTCCCTTCTTAATCTAAGGGGGGGGGGATGTTGCAAGAATAATATATTAAATAAGAGAAAGTTATTTAAGAGCTCTGGGCACATCGAAAACGTGCTCTTGGAATGAGTTCTTTGTGCCCTCCAGTTACAAAATATAAATTGCTCTGGAACTTTTTTCGCTCTACCCCTCCTCAACCCCCCTTTTTCTCATCAGTAATTTAAATTCTGCTCCAGCATTAAGACTCGTCTGTTTCGTACCCGGGTACAGCGATTATCCGCGATCCTAATTTCTAGTGATAAATTCAACTCGGGCTCCTTCTTCCTTTTTCTATTTTAGGAAACGATTAAACGGAATAGTCAACAATAAAGAATCGTCATCGTTTAGAACGTGCTGACGACAATACTAGGTTGGCGCCATTTTTTTCTTCTTCATTTTTTCCCCCTCGGAAATATTACGCAAGAACAAATTGTCCCCCCATTCAGTATGTGAGAAAATAAATTGCATCAAATCGAAAGCCCTCTCCCCAATTTAAACGTCAGTGTGACATGTTGCGTAGGAAGTTAAAGAATTCGAAAACATCTGTTCGATTTTTACATTTTAAGTGGAAATAAGAATGGTAAAAAAAGTTTGAACTTCCAAATGGATGAAATGAAGCGGTTAGACGATTTTTTTTATGGGTGTTCAAATTTTGTTTTATTACTTTTATTCTAAAATAAAAGGTAAAGTTATAGATAAAATTTCTCTTAAATGGTTTTTTTTCTTTCGTTTTAAACATGACTTTCTTCAGTTCTAAAAGCAGCTAACGCATAATTGTTTCGCTGTAAAACATAGATTAATGTCAAGTTGCTATCGGCAATTGTGTTAAGGGCTTTAGAACACTTTTTAAGAATGTGTCAGTATTAAATTTAACAAGATTAAATT